GAGGGAGGTTCTAACTACGTTTAATTTACATAGTTACATAGTTACATAGCTGAAAATAGACTTGAGTCCATCAAGTTCAGCCTTCCTCACATTTGTTTTTTGCTGTTGATCCAAAAGAAGGCAAAAAAACCCAGTGTGAAGCACAATTTTGCAACAAGCTAGGAAAAAAATTCCTTCTTGACCCCAGAATGGCAGTCAGATTTATCCTTGGATCAAGCAGTTATTACCCTACATTGAAAGATTATATCCTTCAATATTCTGTTTTTGCAAGTATGCATGTAGTAGCTGTTTGAACATCTGTATGGACTCTGATAAAAGGTTTTTTTTTTTTTTTTTGCAAATGAATTGTCTGTACGTACAAGGTCATATTGTACTAACAAACTATATGATTTAAAAGCTCTGCTCTTTATCTCACATTCCATTGCACGCTAAAAGTTAGATTTTGGATGAAAGTTGGTTAATTTTAAAATTCTTTAGTTAATACAGAGAATAAAGTAATATTCAGAAAGTATATTAACTGTAAAGGAAAAGTAAGTTTTAATATTTTAAAACCTGCTAAATACGTCCAGTATGTTCACAGAACCACTGACTGACACAATGGATGCTGTTAAAGAAGGCAAGAAAAAACAAACCAGAAGATGACAGAAATGCCACTAGAATCATAGCCATGCAACAGACTGAATCATGATCTGACATCTGAACCTGCAAATGAGAAGGAGAAGAATGAACAGACAGACGTGATACATTCACAGTTAACATGGAATATATGAAAAATTAATCATCAACATCAATATCAGAAAGACTGGAGAAAAGAGACTGTACCTGAATTATCTTATACAGTAAGAAAGAAATGCAAAGATGGAAGCAAAAGGATGCTAGAAAATTGGTTATGGTGTCTCCTTCTTATAATCTGCAGCATTATCATAACATCACCCCTAGCTGTCGTTTTAAAACTGCCATTGGGATTATGTTAACAACCAAGAAGCACCTGAACTGAATTGGACTGCACATAATACAAGTTCTATGATCATAAGGACAACCTCCAAGAACCATCTCAAAAAGAGAGACACGGCTGAAATGATTGCTAATGAGACCTACACTGGTATTTCACAAGGAACCTATTGAAGATCATTCCCAAAACCAATTATACATGGGAAATAAGTGATTGGACTATTTCAAATCCTAATAATGGACTCAACGATGATGGCAAAGCATGCTGGAATTAGAAAAAGACGGGACAGATGCTTGTGAAAGACTTTGGATGCACATATGAAAGTGATGCAAGAAAAAACTTTTCTATATAGTTTACCATTGGATGGCTACTGCAAACAGCCTTCTCTTGCTGAAAAGAAGTGCTATGCTAATTTTGGACATTGCTATTATGTTTCCAGACAGACAGAAGAAGACAGGAACAAGAAATAAAGGCTGATAACTGTCAATGCCCAGCTATTTCTCAAGATGGAACACATTATTGAGAATACCTGATCTAAGCACCTCTCAGTACAAGACACAGATTGTAACCTACAACTCAGAAAAAATTGGTTAATGGGAAGGAGCAGAAGAAGAGGAATATCGATTTCCTGCTGGAGTGAGAAACCATACTGGAACCATTTCAAAGAAACCTTGATGCAATTAATAAATAATAAGACCGACCTACTAAGAGCAGAATGGAATATAAAGGGCCAAGTGAGAATGACGAGAAAATGGAATATAAAAGGCCAACAGAAACCTTTCAGAGACTTGACGTCATGGGGCACTTGCACTAAACCACGATATGCTGCTTTTCTTAACTCTACATATTTTGTCCATACCTGAAAAGCAAGGAACTTCTGTAACAACCACAGAGACATTGATACAACAAGGAATGTGTAATGGTTATATTGCAGATGTGAACTACGTATGCACTCCTTGTTCTTTTTGGTATAACTACACCAATCAAAATATTAAATGGATCCATAGAACCATAGACCAAGGATTCTTGCTATATTTTGGACTTCCATGAATGTGGTGCATGGACAGAAAAAGTATAATTACTTAAGCAATCATGCTATTTTTTCCTCTGTTTCAGTATGGTGTCAGTGACAATATGCAATATAATACAGATACTATAAATAATGGTATAAAAAAACACATACATGTGTTAATTGCAAAGGAGGATAGATTTTGTGAATATCTGAAATATAATTGGAAAATATTGCTAAATTGTCATATGCAGCTGTGGCCTGGCCTGGCCTAGAAACAATATCTGTTAGACATAAAGTATAAGAACATCCCAGCTGATTATCCAGATGAATGTACATTAATGCCTTTGTCTTGCAGCAAAAGGAAAGCTAAACAATGCAGATTCCTTTTATATCTACTGGACATTTACTTGTAGATTCAATCCAAGCAGGTGTCAGATTATCTGATTTTAACAATGCATCTTTACATAATTGAATCATGATAGTTAAAGATCATATGATTACAATAACAACTGCACTAATGAATCAAGTTTTATCTTTAAAAGAAAGTGTAAAATATTTTTATTAAATCAGAAACTACTCTGTATTCGTTTAAGTTTGTAGAGTGGCATGATTAATATAGTGTACTTAATGTTAGTGAAGTACTTCAACATTTAACTTTAACTGAAAGACAGGCAGAAAGTTTGCTTCACTTATCACAAACCTTTATTTTTGATAAAACATGTTCAGACTGCCAGAGCGAAGGTCAGTCAATGGGAGGTAAAAGAGTATTATGGATTAATGCTTTCAGGTGATATACATGACAAATTTTGAAATTGATAATTTAGGCCACCTATTGCAAACAGGTGAAAAGATGTGAAAGATATAAATTCAGCATCCATATCACTAAATGTATATATATTAAATGCATGTGATCAAATATTTTATTTGTCTGTTTTTCAATACCAAATAAATGTTATTTGGTTTGTGATGATTTAAATGTACATATACCTTGAGGTAATGATCCTGCCACATCTATTGATTGTTTAACCCCTTAAGGACACATGACATGTGTGACATGTCATGGTTGCCTTTTATTCCAGAAGTTTGGTCCTTAAGGGGTTAATCAATACATAATACATATAATTATTCATTCCTATTCTGAATGTAATATGCCCCCACTTCAACCAGTTATAGTTACAACAGATTCTGATATCATTATGGAAATGTTAAGACCACCTATACAAAGGTATAGTTAAAAGTATAAATACCTTCAATATCTTACACAAGTGCTTTCTTGACTCACAAAAAAAAAAGATGATAAATTCATAATCAATCATAATCAAGCTCCATCCAACAGTCACTGAAAAATATACTTAAATAAGATTCAAATTGTTCATAATCCAATCTCATGAACGATAAATATATTCAAATATTTAATTTTTATTGCAAGGTCACAGAACTACAGAAGTGCAAAAACATGACATCACATTGCTACATTAGAGAAAAGTTACAAAGTCACATAACATAAACCTGTCTTAATTGTTAATTGCAACAATATCGAGCCCTCGCTACGCGTGTTTCGAGATATGACACTTGTCAGTGCATTTCCCAGAGTCAGCTAGATAACACCCTAATGCCGAGCCTCTGGATTTTAAATGACCTTGGTTTTATTTGCACATACAAAGATAAATTAAATAAGATCAAAATTACATAAATTAATAAACTAAACAAAAAGGAATAAACTGAACAGAAAAATATGATGTCACGCTTATCAACACTCAATATGGGACATGCTTTTACCCTAGATAAGTGATGCAGAATAAAGCTCCAACTTTAAATAAGGTGCCGAGCAGCTGGCATCCATCTTGGCCAATCACCATTATATACCAAACTGCATAGTGTAGCATTCGATGTCTTGGTCATCATACCCGGGGCCCATTTACACCACATTAATAAGGATAGTTTAGTTGTAGAAAGTAACTTTAACTGCCGTGGGTGCCTCTGTGTTGGGACCCATAGTAGGTCCAATGTTGAGTGGGGTGTGCTAATCGCTTGCTCTAAGGCATGCCACAGAACCTTGTCATCAACAGCCTTGCAGTTTGTGCTAATGTGATGGCCACATAAAATTTGGCAATACACGGTACCCTCACTACTCCCTCCCACATTCCCAGGGAAATGCTAGCCAGCGACACCCTCAGAGGCTTCTGCTTCCATATGTGTGCGTTGATTAAGGATTGAAATTTTGATAAAAGAGATTTGTGAATTTCGATAGGTAACGTTTAGAAGAGAAACAGTATTTGTGGTAAGACAATCATTTTTGTGGAATTTATGCAACTCAACCATGAAGAATTCTTATCCCCACAGCTCTTCAGCAGCACCGAAACACTCCTAAATAGCTTACAGTAGTTATGTGTCAATATATAATGTTTTGAGGTGGACAGTTGCATCCCAAGATAAGCTAAGGAGTCCCTCCTCCATTCAAAGGGATATAGTGCCTGCAATTCTGCCAGTTTATCAGGGGATATTTACAGGGAGCACCTGCATCTTTGCTGCATTGTTCTTATAATAATATGCCCGTCTGTATGCGCCTAAAATGTTTAGTATGGTTGGGAGGGAGTCTTGTGGTTTTATGAGAAATATGAGGAAATTGTCTCCAAAGAGAGCTACTTTTTGGGTGCCTATTGGCCTGGGAACTCCCTCGATGGCCTAGTGCTTCTTGATCTTATGGATCAGGGGTTCTAGTACCAGTATGAATATAAGTGGCGATAGTGGACAGCCCTGGCTAGTGCCACTAGTTAGTGCTATACATCGGGATAATAAAAACAAAGTCATCACTTTGGCAAAGGGTGCAGAGTATAGGGAGAGAATACCCTTCGAAAATTTCCTTAGGAAGTTAAATTTGTGTAGTAACTCTGTTACAAATGTGGGCCATTGGTCCAGCTGAGACAGTGGGGAGAGTGTGGAAGTGAAAGGGTTAATGACACCAGACTCCTAATTCTACTAAGACACCTGGATTTAAAGTCTTGGTGGTGGCAGTAAAGCATGTACTAGGGTGTTAGTGTAAAAGGTATTGCAAGGGACTAGCAACAGGTAAGCTGTTGCTAGTCCCTTGCAATACCTTTTACACTAACACCCTAGTACATGCTTTACTGCCACCACCAAGACTTTAAATCCAGGTGTCTTAGTAGAATTATAGGATCACAATGTTACTTTATTGATCAGACATATATAATCAACCCTTTTGGTAACGTGTTTACCTGAGCTTTCCTCAGGAGAGTGAGCTCAAAGACACAAGCTGATTAAGTAAACGTTTAATCTGACAAGAAGGATTCACAGCTGGGTACAATAATACAGAAATAAATGACATACAGAAACACAGATAAATTGCAAAACAGTCCATAAAATAAAATAGGAGAAAACACAAACAATTCCTTACATATATTTACCCCTTATATATAATACTCGTGTGAGATTTTAGATGTTACAGATCTCCTAGTAGTTGTTGAAAAAAGAAATATTCCCTGGATAGTCCAACATCATCATTATATAACTCAGAACTAGATGTTTCTAAGTGGGTGGATCAGAGGGGTTTGGTCTGGCAGTTTATTGCCCACTCCATATTTTCCATATCTTGCCCTTTGAAGACCCCAAATACAGAGCACATGCACCAATACATTTTACAATGCCCTACGTCCAGCTCTGGTTATGGTTATCTAGACGTTTTTATACTACTGAAACCTCAGCAAACCAACAGGGCCTTTTTGAAGGCAGGATATGTTGATTGCCTATTAGAGATGTTGGGTAACGCCTTAGGGTTCCTCAGGCCTGCGTGTCACGGTGGAACTTAGCTGCTGCCCTGTGGGGGGGATGTCCAACTACCATCTCTGGGAGCACCTCTCTGTGACATCTCATTGTTAGTTAGTGAAAGCCAAAATAATTTCAGGGGTTAAAGAGGCATGTAGAAGGGGTGGGAGAAGTCTTGGGTAGCCTGGGTGTCCAACGCACCGAATTTCCAGACTTGAGAGGTGTATAGGCATTAGGGGAGGGATGTAGTGTGCCTAGGCAAAATAGCTACCTGTCCACTATGATGTTTAGATTAGTTTTGTACATTGTATCAACAATTTTTTTTATGACCTTTTGTCTCCATCCTTGATACTGCTTCAAGGTGTGTGTAAGTGGTGCATTGTGTGCCTACTTATGTGGCGACCCAGTTCAACTCCCGCTCCCCTATAGGTAAGTCCTTCAACATCAGACCTCATGGATAAACAAAAAGTGTTCACCTTTTGGCTTCTTGCATATACTGCTCTCAGAAAGCTACAGTCCGCCCTGATGGTCATGGGAAATTAGTCGTGAATCATTTCAGCTTCTGGACCCTCCATTCTGGGGTAACCTTCCTTGGAGAAGTGGTGGCAGGTTGTGTAGCCTTCTCCATGCCCCACCTTTAAGGAATCTTGTTGTTTCAGAGGCATAAAGGGACATCTTGTCGTAGGTGGCTGTCATTGCCTCCGCCTTTCTTTGCACTGTGAACACGGCTTCTTTGGAGCTGTAGTAATGCAGCCTAGTGATAATGTCCCTTAAGATGTCTTGTACCAGGTGTTTTGGCTTGAGCACACGATGGGCTCTGCCATTGCGCAAGTCATCTTGTCCCAGGTCTGGTGCTAGGGCTTGAAATAGCCCCTTTAAGTAGGTAGATAGTTCCTCCAAAGTCACTGACTCCAGCACTCAGCGGATCCAGATGTTGTTGCGCCGAGATCGATACTCCAAGTCTGACAGCTTCTCCACAAGGCACTTATGGTAAGCTTCCATTTTGTAGATCTTGTCCACTACCTCGCTGTTGGCTAGGCATAATTCATCAGTGAGTTCCTCAAGGGCACCCATGCGTGCATCAATATCATGCATTCCGTAGGTCTTCCACAGCAGTCTGGAGGTCTGCCCTCATGGATGAATGTAGCCTTTGCAGCATAGCTGCCAACTTTGTTTCTGAGATGGACAGTTCCTATGTAGGTGCCTGCACTGTGTCAGTGTCGGATCCAGCTTCCAACACTTGTGCTAGAGAGCATGAGCCGCCACCATCTTGTTCAGGCCTCAGCCTGTCTTTCTTCCCTTGCCGGAATAAATCAAGGGTGCGCTAGGCTGTTGGAGGCGCCATGCTGCTATGGGTGTGATCCCCCATGCCTAATGCTAAGGTACAGTAGTCCAGGAACAGCAATCAGCTTAATTTAAGTTTGTGGCCACGGCGGTAAAGGAACTACTCCGACATACGACTGCCTCCGTGAACTGGAAGTTCCGCCCCCTGGTAAAAAAAAAAATTAAGACAATTTTTGTGTGTTTCTTATATTTTAAGACTATTTACTAATGTCATGTTTCCAATGATCAACTATTCTAATAGAGTGAGAGATTTTGAAAAAAAAAGTATTTATAACATTTAAAGAGAATGTAACTGTACATATAATTGTGAACAAATGTGCTAAATACTTTGCTGCTTCAAATAATTCTTATATATCGATATCAGATACAAGGGTATTTATCTCTAAAACATAACACTAGAAAGATTAACTATGTTACTATTTCATCTATCATTACACAAAGTATAACAAATGTAAAGATTTTCCACAGATTTTACCTGTTAAAAGCTCTAGTATAATGGTACATGATGTCGTTAAATGTCTATCAGTGAGATGTAGAGGTGTTACCAAGATTCCAATACCAGCAAAAAGAGGCGTTCTTGATTTACCACTTTGATTGTTGTATCAACATAACATGTACTATAATGGGGTCTGTGTCACTTAAGACAATGTCTTGGAAATGCTATCATTTAATTTATTCCATAAAAGAATAACAGAAAGTATCCAATCTATACATATCATAAACTGTGTAAAAATTTTTCATGGAAAAAACAAAAAACAAACAAAACAAGCAAAGACAAATGTCATGGCAACAACCAATAACAACACCAACAGCACGGTGATAACAGATGATGCTGATAGACTATCTGCAACCAATTCTAGCTAACTACTTGGATAAGTGGACTCTACAACCAATACTCTACAACAAATACCCAGGTATTCTATAAACACATCCTCCAGGAATGTATCTAAGGAATCTAAACTACTACAAGCCTTTAAAGACTTTGTATTGCAAATACAATTACAATTTGGATTACAATTACTAGCAGGATCCATCCAAGAATATCTTATTCTGGAACTTGATATCAAACTGACAAGTTGTTAGAAACAGAAAATATTGTTTCTCATACAATGTTCCTTTTCTTATCAATCTGACATCTTACCCAATAAATAAATAGGATGTTTAGACTTTAAGGTGCCATTTTGGCCTAGATTGATGCAATAACAATTAATGCAAGAACAATTTCAGGCTATGCCTACGTCATCCTAACTTCTAGTCAAAATATAGATTAAAGATCTCTAGCTCATGACAAATAAACATAGATAAGATGCTCATATGTGAAATGACCAAGTTATGGCCTTGTATCTTTGCCAAGTTAAGGTAGGCCCTAATATAACCTAATTGAACATCTAAGTTATAAATATGTGTACTTATTAATATAAGGACACTGAGGAGAGATTTTGGAGACAGGGATACTGCTCCATTTTATCATGACTGATAGAGGTTGACATGTTCAGGAGGGTATGTTGTTCTATTTACTGATATTGCAAGCATATAATTTAATCTTATAAACTCTGCTATAAATTATTGTTATGAATTTTATTTGTCTATATTTATATATTTATTTATTGCTTCCAAGACAATCCCTATTTTATATTATATTCTCAATTATTTATATATTTTAAATAGAGGAACTCTTACTAACTATATAATATTATTATGGCCAAGATATTTGTATGGTTAGCCCTGCTAAGTTCTATGCTTTAATACATTATAGTAGTAAATAAGGGAGCCGTGAGCTTTCAGCAGGTAAGCGGTTAAGTGAAGCCACCGCAAGCAGCACGCTGGCACTAGAAGCGGTCAGGTGAAGCCGCTGCAAGCGGGGCACGGGCAAGGGAGCTGACACTATAGCACATTCATGGTATTAAGTGGAGAGAAAAAGCAGTTGAAAATGTTTTGACATATTTGTCAAGATTATATGCTGGCTTCTCCTCAACATTGCCGGATGTCTCACAGTGATTCATTACTTGGATGATTTTCTGTTGGTGGAAGATAGTAGCAACATTCCTGAAATTAACAAGCACAACAGCACTATTTTCTACACTAGGTATCCCACTTTCAACTGACAAGACCATTGGACCGACCACTAGATTGTTTTTTTATGGGATCATCCTGGACTCAAATCTAATGCAGTCCTGTCTTTCTGAAGATAAATTACAATGTATTCGCGAAGATTTAGACAGGTTCCTGAATTTAGGTATTCAAGGCACAAGGATCTCCAATCCTTAAATGGGTCCTTGAACTTTGCAATGTGCATTATTCCACAGGGTAGATCATGTGGATCATGTGGCTAGATTTATATCCAGACTGCTATACCTCCTACCAGGACTCCCAGACAGTGAACAGTTCAGAGGTTTTGCTAGGATGTATTTAAACTAGGAGGGGGGGGGGCAAAAGGGTGATAAAACATAAATCTAATTGCCCCCAAAACAAGGACAGAAGGTGCCTGTAGCAAGTGTGTTAAAAATTATAAGCGGAGAGTCATGTCTACAAATGCTCGCAGTTTAGGGAATAAGATCCATGAACTTGTGGCAATAATGGCAACTGATAATGTAGATTTATTCGCTGTTACTGAGACATGGTATAATGAGAAAAATGACTGGGACATAGCAATACCAGGGTACTCTTTATATAGAAAATACAGGGAAGGCAAGACAGCCCTGTATGTGAAGGATAGCATAAAATCTAGCCTAATAAAAGTTAGTGAGGCAAACATAGAGTCCGTTTGGGTTAAGTTAGAATTTGGTAATCACACAGTAATTCATGTAGGTGTGATTTATAGGACCCAAGGACAAATAGAAGAGTTAGATAATCTACTAGTTGAGGAAATAGCTAAAATGACAATGAAGGGGGAAGTTATCATCAGTGACTTTAATCTTCCTGATGTGAATTAGAAAACTAAACTAGCTGATAAAATAGCTGATTGTGCCAGGAGCACACATATTCTAAACTCCTTACTGGGATTGTCTCTAAAACAAGTCGTTAAGGAGCCAACTCATAAAGAGGCCATACTAGATTTAGTGTTAACAAATGGAGATTTGGTATCAGATATTACTGTAGGTGAAAGTTTAGGATCCAGTGATCATCAGTCAGTGTGGTTTAATATAAGAATAGTGACTGAGTCACACCACACAAAAACAAACATTTTAGACTTTAGAAAAACAGACTTTTCTAAAATTAGAATATGTATAAAGGAGTCATTATGAGACTGGAGCAATTTAAATGGAGTTCAAGAGAAATTGCATTATTTAAAAGTTGCACTGCTGAAGGCAACAGAAAATTGCATTAGGCTTGTCGGTACAAGCAAATAATTCAAGAAACCACTGTGGTACTCTGCAGATGTGGCCAAAATAGTAAAAGACAAAAAGTTAGCATTTAGTAATTATAAAAAAAACAGAATGAGGAAGACAGAATGATCTATAAGATTAGGCAAAAAGAGGCTAAGCAAGTTATTAGAGCTTCCAAATCACACACAGAAGAGAAAATAGCACAGTCAGTAAAAAAAGGGGACAAAACATTTTTTAGATACATAAATGAGAAAAGGAAAGTAAAACAAGGATTAGTTAGATTAAAAACAAAAGAAGGAAGGTATGTAGAAGAAGATAAAGGTCTAGATGACTGCCTCACTGAATATTATTGTTCAGTATTTACAGATGAAAATGAAGGAAAGGGGCCGCACTAAGGAAAAAGGACAAATGAGTCATTTGTTACATGTGAGTTTACAGAGGAAGAGGTTCTATTTCAACTGTCAAAAGTAAAGACAAATAAGTCAATGGGACCTCATGGAGTACACCCAAAGTTATTTAAAGAGCTTAGGGTGTACTAGCAAAACCGTTAACAAATGTTTTTAACCAATCATTGTTAACAGGTGTAGTCCCAGAAGATTGGAAGTTAGCATATGTTGTGCCCATTCGCAAGAAAGGTAGTAGGGAGGAATCAGGCAACTATAGGTCAGTAAGCCTTACTTCAGTAGTGGGGAAGGTAATGGAAACCATGTTAAAGGATAGGATTGTTGAACATCTAAAATCACATGGATTTCAAGATCAGAGACAACATGGGTTAACTTCAGGGAGATCATGCCAAACTAATCTCATTGATTTTTTTTGATTGGGTAAGGCTTTTGACACTGATGCACATAGAAGGTGTATCAATAAACTGCAATCTTTAAGTTTGGATTCCAATTTTGTTGAATAGGCAAGGCAGTGGCTGAATGACAGGCAACAGAGGGTTGTAGTCAGTGGAGTATATTCAAAGCATGGGCTTGTTACCAGTGTGGTACCTCAGGGATCTGTACTTGGACCCATTCTCTTTAATATTTTTATTAGTGATATTGCAAAAGGTCTTGATGGTAAGGTATGTCTTTTTGCTTATGATACTAAGATATGTAACAGGGTTGATGTTTCAGGAGCAATAAGCCAAATGACACATGATTTAGGTAAACTAGAAAAATGATCAGAATTGTGGCAACTGACATTTAATTTGGATAAGTGCAAGATAATGCATCTTGGATGTAAAAACCCAAGGGCAGAGTACAGAATATTTGATAGAGTTCTAACCTCAACATCTGAGGAAAGGGATTTAGGGGTGATTATTTCTGATGATTTTAAGGTAGGCAGACAATGCAATAGATCAGCAGGAAATGCTAGCAGAATGCTTGGTTGTATAGGGAGAGGTATTAGCAGTAGAAGGAGGAAAGTGCTCATGCCATTGTG